TTTCTCCACATCCTCGCCAACATTTGTTGTTGCTAGTTGTTTGAAGATGTGCCATTCTCACTGGGGTGAGGTGGTATCTCATTGTGGTTTTAATTTGAGTTCTGTCATAGTTTTATAGCTTAATAAATGTCTGGTTTTTTCCTTCTCAAACTTGAACTGGGAGGCTGAGTGGGTATGTGCAACCTGATGTCCCTTCTCAGGAGATAATCAATCATAGTTTATACTTATTGGGGCACATTGTGTGCTGGTGTTTCTTCTACCATAGTAGAGATCTAGCATTACTCATTACAACTCAATGCCCTTGACCTGTTGCTCTTTTGGACTGTGGAAAGGTGATGTGGGACAGTCCAGATGGCTGAGCCATCCTATCCAAGGACCAGGGTAATAAAGCAGGCAGTGAATGGTGTTCAGAGACAAGTAACTCTGCTGCAGGGAAGGCAACCACAGTGCTCTGTCGCCCTATCTCCAAGGGCCCTGCCACTTCCATACTTAAGCCTGGTCAAGGGGCTGCCTTCCTCCTCTAGGCTGTTCATCCCACCTGTTGTTAACTATTTCCTGTAACTATGTGTACCCTGTGTGAACACAGAGATCTGACAATCGTTTTAAATGAGGTGATGAGGTGGTAGTACAAGAGAAGGGCCATTAATGCGAGGTCAACATTATCCTCTTCCAAGGTCATTTCTGGCTGGGGAATATGAGAGAGCTCCATGGGAGAACTCTTATCCCAAAACCAACCCTAAATACCCACAAATTTAAGAGAATCAGATATAAATGCTGTTGATTCATCTATCTCAAGATATTTTACCCAGCTGGAAGGAAGCTTTGACTTCACTACTGTGATAAGATAGGAGGAAAAGACAAGAAAGTTGCTGGAAACAAGCATACCTTACACCTGTTCACGCTCATTTTCTCTATTGGGCCATCGATAGACTAATTCCTGACATTCCTCACTGTTTTGTCACAGCTACACACATGGGCACTAGTTTTTGAGCACCTTCCTCACTCCCTTGGCTAAGCATTTTGCATGGCCAGCAACCAACACACATCTGTGTGAGGACTCTGCTCTAACTCAGTGGTTCAGAAACTTCTTCATCAGATGTATTCAATTCTGTTCCCTTTGTCTCAATTTCCCCATCACTGCTTTGCTCTACTAGATCATTTCTGAAATTTTTATTTCTTGCCATATTTGAGTCCTTGACCAATGGGGTGTTCTACCAATCGTCTGTTGTTGGTATAAGCTGTTAAGAATTATCTGCGGCCCTCCCTGCTGGTATAGCGGGTTAAAGCACAGCACTAAGAAGCTCAAGCCACTTCAGCATGAGTTTGATCCCCACCCCGGAGGTGACCCACATGGTGCAGCAGACCTCTACTCCCCTCAGCAGCGTATTTCCTCAGTCTGCCTGTTCTGCTCCCTGCTCTGTCTCTGGTGAATCCTCTCACTGGCCCCCCACCTCTGACCTACTGTACCCCCATTCTGTATGCATAAATAAATTGTTTTTTTAAAAAAAGAATTATCTGGAAGTTATTCCGTGTTCTACTTTTTCATCTTCATAATTCGTACAGCCTCTTGGAGAAAAACACACTCTTTACTGGCTTAAGGGTTTTGTAAAAGGGGAGGAAATCACTTAATAGGAAGTCCCTGAGAGGGGGGAAGGAGATGGATGATGAGACCGGCCTCTTGAGAGTTTTAGTGGGTTGATATACATGAGACTCTCTGATTGCTTTTCATGCAGAAAGCTACTATCTAAGTTGTGATTGGCACCTCCATATTTCATGTCTAATAAATGTCAATCATGAAATTTAGCTTTGGTTTACCTTTAGCCCCTAAATTTACTATACCCTTCTTTCTGTTCACCTTTTGATTGATTTTCATGATAGCCTCCTAATGAGGAAATCCTGAGTTTATTTGCTTTCTAGACATGTTTGGATTTCTTAAGTGCGCTCTTAAAATGGCTAAGATGGCACTGAGAAGGAACAAAGGACATTTCTGTATTTGGGCAATGAAGATTTTCTAGGTAGACTGGAGTTTTTGCACACGTGCTGATTTTTGGAGGTGATTTGTAAAACCATTCTGTATGATGTGCAGATGTCTTGAGATGCAGTGACTGATGAACAAAAACCCACTTTCAACAGCCCACAGGGTATGGCCAGCTTTCTGTCTGCCCCAAACTGCTAACACTTTTCTTGCAGAGAATTGTCTGCCTCCCTGAAGATGAAAATCAATGACTTAGAAACTGATTAAACAATCCAAATAGCAACTGATAAATGGATTAACCCTCTATAATGTAATTCCACAAGCTTTTGTCTTCCGCCTTCCTCAGGTAAGTTTTTCTATTCCTGGAGGCAAAGCAGAGGCATGGAGTAAGCTAAGGCCAGAGGGAATCATATTAAAGTGGGTGAATCCGTTTATCACTTACTGTCTGGATGGTATTTGTGCTCACATATCTGCTTCCTTTTACAGATTTGTACCCTACGGGACCCTGATTAATGTTAGCCAGTGAATAATGAAAGATAGCAGGAGACATTGGGTATAGTGAGGAGGAAGATACCCTAGTGGTTTAGGCTGATCCTATAAACCTCCGTTCCTTTCTTCTTAGCTGCAAACAGGGTGTATTAATGTGACAAAGAAATGTCCACAAAAGGGATAGAAAAACAGGAAAAATGGAGGCATCTGTCCATACATAGAACCTACCTGAGCAAGGCTTTTTAACCAGCCCCTGGAACTGAGAATGATTTCAGTGCTCCAGGATATGGGCTGCTCTTGCAAAGCTTTGTTTTCAAGAACATCCTAAGATTTTCCTTTGCTTTTGTGTAATACCTTTCTGAATGACTGGCTTATGCGGGTCTAAAGCCTCAAGATGTGCTCACTCACTCATCATTTAACCCATCCTTGGCATGAGGCTGAAGTAAGTGTCCAGTTCTGATTCTTGGGGTCTGGCATTTGAGGTCTGCTGATTAAGTAGTGAGGGTGCATTCCATGACCAACCATTCTGGATTTCGAGAAGATGAGGCCATACCAGAGTGGACACCTGTGCACCTGCAAGTTACTCATCAGAGTCCCCAAGAGTATCTTCAGTGTCTTTCCTGGGAATGATTATCCCTTGGTGGTGCTTTATTTTCCAAAAGGGACAGGGGAGAATCTCATAAATGAGAGCGTCTATCCAGCAATGACCCTTCTCTCTTCCTCCAGTGACACCAGTGCCTGTTGGGTCCTTGTCTGTTGGGTCTGTTGCCACCTGCCAGTTGGGGCCTTGCTCCTTGGAGCTCATTGTTCAGGGTTGAGAATTCATTTGAGTGTAGGCCCTCTGGTCTTTTGTGCATTTGAAGATGTGGCCAGAGGAACGAGGTAATTTCTGTACCACAAACTAACACAAAAACCAAACTCAACTCTGCATGGCTTGCAAGGCTTTATTATTGTTGAATAGAAAAGCAGGGAGAAAACTCAGTCCAATTGAACAACTTGAGTGTAACTAAATCTCAGATTCTAAGCTTTGTATTCTTTCTGGTGCAGATCTGGCCAAACTCTGGGAGGAGAAGGGTCAGTAGAAACGTATGTCAGTCTAACAGTGGATATAATTTTTTCCCCCATAGCCCAGAAAGGACCGGATGGGACAGTCATCCCCAATAACTACTGTGACTTCTGCTTGGGGGGCTCTAACTTGAACAAGAAGAGTGGGCGGCCAGAAGAGCTGGTGTCTTGTGCAGACTGTGGACGCTCTGGTGAGTGTGGCCCCTTCCTGCATGGTATGCTGGTAGCCAGGAACTTGCATTCACTTGCATTCCTCTGCCATCTTAGGGGTGGTAGGACTTGAAGGGTGGAGTGGTGATCCAAGAGGGGTTTGCAGGTCTTTCGCTATTTTTCTTCTTTGGGTCTTAAGAATCAAAAGTTCTGTCCTGGAATCCAGGTAAAAGGGGAAAGAAGTTCTGACATGTGTCTGGCCTTTCCATGAGGTGGCTATTAACTTGCGTGTGTTGCTATGGACGACTGTGAAATAGTGTAGACACCTGGAGACAAACACAGCTTGCTTCCCTGTTTTGGGTGATGTGCATGGAACAAAAAAGATGTCTTTGTGCTGTGGAAGTGTCTTGGGGAAAACTGAAAGACTATGGGAACACGAATATCGGGGCAGCAATCACATCTTGAACTGGGGGAGTCAGAGACCCCTGGGTTCCTGGGTAGATGTGTAAACACCACTTCCATTGGCCACTCATCTCATTTTCTCCTATAGAACAGACAAAAACACCCTGACAGATCAGAGGCCAAAGGGCAGGCCTTCTAAGGGCTAGTATGGAATGGACTTGGCATGCTTTTAAAATTTTTTTATTTTCATCTTTAGGTTATTCAAAGACTATAACAACAACAACAACAACAACAACAGACTTTGATCTTGTTTTTTTGTCCTTAAAATGAGCTCATTTTTTCAAGTTTTGTTCAAACTCTTTTGTTTTTCATCTCTAACCAAACCATGATTTTTGGCTAGTCCTGGTTGGTTGTTACTATCTATTTGTTCATATTGTTTTATATCCTTACTAGGCCAAAGTGCAAGGTAGGGAGAAGATTTCAGACTCATCTTGAATCCCACAACTGTTGACCAGTAGGTGATACTGTTCAACTGGATATTTGGCTTCAACAGTGAGGTGTCCTTGCTGTTTCTACCCATCAGCCCAATATCTTTTCAACTCCTAGTCCGAAGAGATGCACTGAAATTCACTTTGGTTTACCTTATTAACTTATTTTTTCCCTTATGTTGTATGCAAACCGTGACTTTAGTCCTTTTATATACAGTGTTTGCGTTATTTAGGGCTCAAGACTGACCTGAGTAGTAAATCAGGAATAAGAAAAGGACTGTGGTTTCCATTACACACAACTCTTAACGTATGACTTTTAAAGGTCTAAAACAGTGGCTCATTTTTGCTCTTCTGTCAATTCATTTACTATCGAAACACTGAACTTTTTACGCTATTAGTGCCAGTTTAGAAAAGAGGGCCCTCTTTGACACTTTAGATACTTAAAAAGAGAACAAAACAATTGAAACTCAGTTCCCTGTTTCTAAGAAGCAAGTGATCAGACAAAATCTCTACACAGCAAAGTCACTTGGTGGGAGAGATATTCTAGGCAGAGTGTTAAGGGCTGCTGTGGATTTGGGGTGCTTTAGAAAGCGCAATTTCAGAGTTCTTTTTAGAAACAGCTATCATTTCCTTCTTTCCTTTTACAAGATGGGTTCCTTGAGTCTGATCTTCGGGGAACTAGAAGTGGGCAGTTGGTTTTTTTCTACCCAGAGCCTCTGTCTTCACATGCAGCCTTTGTTCAGCTTTGGCTTCTCAGGATCTGCGTGCTCTGTGACTCAGGAGACCATTTGACACACCAGCCTAGGTCTTCACATTGTATTTGTCCAGGGTTAATTTTGGTGGGTAATTTAGTCAAGGTATGACTGTGCTGTTCCTGAAATAGTGATAACTTGGAGATAAACCAATAATTTGGAGATAAACCAATAGATGGCATTAACCCCTAAAATGTGCTTGTTGAGAGAGGGGGACAAATACTTCCCTAGGGTTGGCGTGGAGCTTGAGAGGGCTGTCTTTCTCTAACATCTGTCCCACTTCGTCTGTTTCCTGGGGAGAAAGTGAGATTCCTATAATGGCACATCATAGCATCGTTTGAGGGCAGTCCTGGGCCCATATTGAATGTGAAAAAGTATAAATCTGAATTTTACAGACTTTGGTACTAACTATATCTTACTAGGCTTTTAAACCCCCAAATCCCACTCATGCTGAGTTAGATTTGATGACTTGGGACTTCTCTGGAGTAATTAAGACCTGGGTGTGTTTAGTGGATGGAATGAGTGGTTATGTGTGTGTGTGTGTGTGGGTGTGTGTGCGTGTGTACATATATCTGTATGCACACGCTCTCATGTGTGGGTGCAGATCACATCTATTTCCTGCAATGCTTTAAAAAGGATGACTCTGTCTACTTAACAGTGATCAGATTTTCCAACTACTTTTTACTTCCAGTGCAAATGAATTACATGGTATAAGGACAGAACTGAAAGGTACTGAGAGAATGAGGCTAGAAATGAGTAGAAATAAAATAAAAACGATGGAGGCTTAAGCTCCTTGAATGTGTGACCTGACAGTAATGCCTTTGTAAAGCTGTCTAAGTAAAGGACTAACACTGTTCAAATAAACACCAACTGAAAGCACCAAAGAAATACCAGCCAGGCTGAAAAACCACCCAAGAAACCTTGTGTTTGGGGTGAGGTGGGGCGAGCGTGCGTGTGTATGTGTGCCTACGGAACAGAAAGATCATGGTTGTATCGTTCTCTGTCAGATGCTGTGGATGTACATATCACAGTAGAGATGATATCTTTCCAGGGAGGGGAGACGCATCCTTTTCCCAGGAAATGTTTGCTTTGTCCTGATACCCTACATTGTCCAGGTGATGGACCAGATAATCCCTTTTTGGTGTGAAATGGTTTATGATCTTGCTATTAAAAATAACATTGTCGTAATGTAATAAGAATATTAATAATGCTGTCTGTTGCTTAACCCATGTGCTGATATATTCATCATACATGTCAGCTCATTTGGGAGGAGAAGGCAGGAAGGAGAAGGCAGCGGCCGCAGCACGCACCACGGAGGACTTATTCGGTTCCACGTCAGAAAGTGACACCTCAACTTTCCACGGCTTTGATGAGGACGATTTGGAAGAGCCTCGCTCCTGCCGAGGACGCCGGAGTGGCCGGGGCTCCCCCACAGCAGATAAAAAGGGCAGTTGCTAAACCCATGGAACAGACTCTCTGGCCCACTAGCCACCACCCTCCGACTTTGGTCATTGTTCTGGTTCTGATATATTTTTTTTAATGAGAGACGACTTTAGGTTTTCCCCTTCTCCTTGCTTTTCCCTCTCACCTTCCACACCTCCCGCCCCCCTTTCCCTCTGTTTTGGGTATGTACAGCAGAAGCACAAACTACTGAAACAAAACAAAACAGAACAAAAGAGCAGAATAACAGTCCTTCAGCGTGACGGCATCGTGATGTACTATTTATTTTCTATAGACTGGGACGTTAGGTGGATTATCTATTTTGGGGGGGAGGGGATTTTTTTTGACATGAGCAGAGTTGATTTTCTCAGTTTTCCTATTTATTGGCAAAACGAAGCCAGGAGGAACATTGGGTTTGGAAACAAAGAACCAATAACATTAAAATTGTATTTATGTATTCTTGCTATTATTAGAAATGGACCTTTTTCTTTGAGAGAGAGAAGGGAAATCAAAGAGGTTGAAGTCATATCCTGTTTAGGAGAAGCCACTGGGGGTAGAGGGGGAAGGGTTGACTGAAGGAGGAGACCTAGCCAGGATGGTGTCCTCCATGGGAGATGATGACACTTTCTGTACCCCACAGAATTTGTGGCTGCCCCGACAGACCCCGCCCCGCTTCTCCTCCTTGACCTTTCCATCTTCCTCCCTGCTTGTGAGAAAATGTCAGCAGTTCCAGACCAGTCTGGCTGCCGAATGTGGCCTCCCTCCAGCACCCGCCTCGACTGGCAGCCTGCTAGGCTCCTCCATCCTCCACGCACGGTCGCTGTTTTGTCGTCGCTGGCTTTTTCCTCACTTTCCTTCTGGTGAAGAGTAATTTCCAAATGCAGGAATGGAATATCAGCAGATGGTCATGGACTCAGCAGTGACCCAACGTGTGGACGCCGCCCTCCTGGAAGAAAGAATGATACCTCACAGTATACTGTCCCTCCCCTCGCCCTTGTTTAAAAACTTATAAATTCCTGTTGGATGATCAAGTCTCCCGTGTTTCTTCTATTTTTTTATAGTGTCCTCCAGGCACTTTGTTTTATGTTTCCAATAGCACCTCCTGAAATAAACCAAAGCAACACTTGCTCAAGGCGCCCGGGGAGCTGGCGCGGACCCTCTGCCTCGTTGGCAGTCCCCCGAGGGAGCGGCTGTGCGGCCCTGGTCCAAAGGTAGGTCTCGCCTGACCTGCCTCGCCACGAGGACAAGCCATCATAGTTTTTGTTTGTTTTGTATTTTCAGTTTTCCTGTCTCCCATCCACGTCCAGGTTGTCTTTCGTTTGCCTGGGTTTAGAGCCCCTCGACAGCGTGGGGGTGGCTCCCGGCCTGGCTTCCACCTTGCGCCTGCTGTCTGTGTGCGCATGCGCGCCCACGTGGGCTGGCCCTGGCTGTGGGAGCTGAAGTCCGTGTGGACTGTGGGCTTCTGGCCTCAGCTGCAAGAGAGAATGGCTGGCTAACTCCCTTGGCTACACCTGGGAGTGGCATCTGGGCAACTGGGGTTGGAGTCGGTTGCTGTGTTGTGTGCACTGAGGGTGTGTGACCTCAGGGAAGTGCTGTGTATGCAGGGTGGTGGTCTTCACTCCAGGTACCAATTTCACAGCCAAGGGGCATGTCCAAGTTGAACAAGATCTCTGGAGGCACAGGCCTCAACCGAGCTGATCTGAAGCCTCTGAACTCTCATAAATGTGGTTAGGGTCTTCGACCTCTGTGCACCCCCAAGTCTAGAAACACAAGCACTGTCATTTGGCCCGGATTGGTAGATCCCAGTGGCCATTGAGGCAACAGGCAATTTGTAAGTGTCTGGAAAGTTCTGCTTTGACAGTTCAGCCTTTGTAGCAACTCCTGAATTAGACCTTTTGTTAAAATAACAAACCAACCAAACAAAAGCAAGGACCCAGCAACAAAACCCACCAGCAGACCTTTTGTATTTCCTGGTAGCTTCAGACAGAAAGGGCTTCTACTTTTTTTCCTGCTTGGAAAGTGCTTGCTTGGCATTTGCTCTTAGTTGTGAGAGAATGAAGGTAATAAGCTCACCCATTTTGGACATTCTGCTTAATCTGTTTGTGGTTCTGTTCCTGGGAAATACGGGTAAACCTTCCTGCATGCTTACATGTGTGCCAAAGTCAGTATAGTTGGCTTCAGTTCGTTTCTGCTAGGGGGAAACAACAAGCTCTTGCTGTCGCTCTCTACCTCTTTATCTGTTCTGATATTTTGTCTCACATATTGTATTCATAACATTGAGATTTGCTCTCATTGATAAAGTGTGAGCTCCCATAAAAATATATGTGCCCGTTTGGTGATGGGAAGCCCACAGGGATTACAAGTGAGATGAAAAAAGCCACATAATGATGTAAAAATAAACCATTATATTATTAAAAAAAATGTGTGCCCAACCTGTACTATCATTTCAAATTGGTGTCATTGTGAGTACTTTTGAAATTCACAGTGACAGTTTGCTATAGAACTTGAATTAAAAAAATCTACATAATTAAATTATAACAGCCCACTTAATTTTAGAGTCTGACTTGGGGTTCTGAAGGGGAACCAGAATAAACAATACAAACTCATGAAAGATTTGTCTGAGGTTGGCTGTTACCTGCATTACTTTTACTAGTATAGCTCGATGTTTTGTTCCCCCTGGTGGGAGTGCTAATAGCCGTCCTTATCTCTCTCACTTGGTGTAGCCAGTGCGGATAGAATATCTCAGCATTGTTTGAGGACTTTGTGTCATCTTAATTATAGTATCTTTCAACAGAATTTACTTCCTTTAAAAAAAAAAAGTGGAACTGTAAAGGACTTGGAAGATCAAGTTCAGATTTTTCACTTTTTAACTGAGAAAAGTCAACCCAGAGAGGTTGAATTAAGTTTGCGAGAGTGGGATGGACATTGCTTTGGAGGCAAAAATCTTAAAAGTGAAGGAGGGGAACTCTGAGGAAGAGTAAGAGGAAGAAGCTTTCAGTCTTGGGTTTCCAAATATCTGGGTGGCTGATGCTATATCTACAGCCTCCCTTTGTCTTCCTAACAGTTGCCAATATATATGTGCCAAGCTTTGTTCTGAGTGCTTTCCTTGGAATAGTTCATTTAACCTTCTTGAGTTCCCCATGAAATGTACCTCAATTTATGGACAAGTAACCTGAAGCTTTAGTAATAAGGTTAAGAAATATTCCTAAGGTCTGATAACTAATTAAGAGCCAGGTTTTGATTCTGGTAACATGTACTCTTCTGATTCCAGAACATACACTCTTTACCTTGAGTATAGTCCTGTGTAGGGCATTCCTATATTCCATAAATACATACAAGCATATTTGCATGCATTTTATATTATTTATAACCATGTGTATAGACCTATGATTGATATCTAGATAGATAGACCCTACACACACACACACACACACACACACACACACACACACACACACACACACATTTCCTTTCACCTTTCTCAGTTCTAAGTGAAGAAAGGGGTATTTGTAATGAACATAACTTAAAAAGGTAACCTTAGTAAGAACAATTTCAAGACTGAAGAGTGAGCAATTAGATCCCCAAGAAGATACTAACAATTAAAATTTTAAAAAGTATTTTTTTCTAAACCATCCTTTCTAGAGAGTTCCTTCTGATGTTGCAAGTAACATGTATGAGCAGTCAATGCATCTATTGTTGTGTTGTCACTTTTATTAAATAAACTTTTAATATAAATTAGAATCATCCAGGTAAAAATAATCACATTAGTTCATTTTGTCCTCAGTTCAGTGAAGCACCCCTCCAAAATGCTTCAAAAATGTCACCCAATTTTCTGAATCTCTGCAGAAAGATAAGAGAATCAAAGATATAGAACTCCCTAAATTTTATACACTTACATCCCCTGGGGGAACAGTTGATGTAAAGGTGATTACTGTTTTTTCATACCTAGAACAATGTAATCTTTTATTTATGATATTAAGGCTCTGTGGAAATCAGACCCTCTAATCACTAGAACATTGAGAGTAAGAAATATGCATTTAATTTTTTAAAGGTACTTTAAAGTCAGTAATGCAATTTGCTACTGGTATTTGAGAGAGAAGGATTTAATAAAAATATGATGTTCGCATCAACAGTGCCCCTGTAAGTCTTCCTGCTTACTTTGTATCTCTCTATTCACCTAACAGACTACAGCCTCCCGTTGCCTTTCTATAGCAATTGAGGGAACACAAGATCATTACTCGGGGAGCGAACTAAGGGCTGCGTGGAGGTTCTCACTTCATGGTGGAATAAGATTAATTAATATTATCCCAGTATGCCACCTGTTATATCTGATAAATGTGATCTTGAACTTGTACTTAAAAGTTTGAGGAGACTCATATACTAGATTTTCTTTTTTTAAAGATTTATTTATTTGTGCCTACAGAACTGGGGTACAGGCCAGAGGTACAGGGGGTGAGAGGATTCACCAGAGACAGAGTGGGGAGCAGAAGAGGCAGATCCACCAAGTATACTGCTGAGGGGAGTCAGGAGAGGTCTGCCATGCCATGTGGGTCAGCTCCCTGGCCGGGGATCGAACTCATGCTGCAGTGGCTGTGCTTTAACTTGTTGCGCCCCCAGGGAGGGCCCACTAGGAGTTTTTCTGTAGGGGATTTGTCTAGCCTTTAGAAGTGAAGTTGCTGTGTATTTTCTGAGTGAGGCATTTTTGTTGTAGTGAAAAGCCTAGAGTAGAATAAAAAGCTCTGGGTTCTGGATTCAGTCCTTTATGAGTTCACTGCCATGAATCTCTTCTCAGTTCTTTGATCCCTAGGATAGAGACAGTTCTTAGGCTAGAATAATATAGAACCAATAGCACCTCATGATGACTCTTAGAATGACTATGAGAGAGAGAATAAATAGTATTTGTCCCCATTTCCTGATGAGACTGAAGCTTGTCAGGTTCAGGGACTGGTGTTCTGGTGTGGGGCCAGTAAGTATCTGGTCTTCTAACACTTTCTGATCAGTCTGTACTTTCCTGTAGGTCAGATTGAAGGATTCTTGAGTAAAACCAGTAAAGGGCTTTGAGGTCACTTATTCTGTATTAATGTGATCTAGGATCACATTAGATTCCTACAGAGGATAATAATCCTCATGAACTTTCCCAAGGACCTTAGGCTGAGCCTCATAATGGTCTGTGTTTTGATGGTAGTGACATTGGGTAGGGGTGAAGGTGGTGAGAGTGATGATATGGCATGGAGTGAATCCTTTAGCCCTATTTTGGTTAAATACCCAAGCATTTCTAACACTGGAACATAGAATTATATAATACTTTGTGCTTAATTAGTGATTTCTAACTATTTACTTAAAATAACAGTATGGGGAAAACAATTCTGTTTGATCAGTTTACAAAATAGCTGAGAATTATGGAAAATTCCTGTCAGAACTGAATTTTAGCTAAAAAAGCATTGGTATTTAGGTTTTCTAAGCAACTCAATAACTGACTTTCAATCCATGACTAAGATTTTTTTTAAATAAAAAAAAATTTTTTTTATGTCATTCTTCATTTTTGTGCAATGTATGCCCTTTTCATCTTGATTATAGTCCCTGTAGAAGTCCCAACAACATTTCACGAACCCTGCACCATCACCTAGTCACTTGTGTTCTTCCCACCCCTCACCCCTGTTTTGATCCTGCTCCCCTCTCCCACCCCTGCAGAATGTCTCTGGTTCAGAGTTGCCTGTTGATTTTTACTTTATTATAATTACTTTTTCCTCCAGATCCTTTACATTCTTCCTCAAAGTGAAACCATCTGGTATTTTTCTCTTTCTTTCTGGCTTTTTTCACTGAGCATAATCTGTTCTAGCTCCATCCATATTTGCCATGAAAGGCATGAGTTTTATCTTTTTTGATTGCTGAGTAATATTTCATTGCCTATATATATATCACATCTTCTTGATCCAGCCATCTATTCTGGGCATTTATGTTGTTTCCATAGCTTACCTCTTATAAATCATGCTGCATTAAACATAAGAGCATAGGTGACCTTTTGAGTTAATGTTTTTGTGTCCTTTGGGTAGATACTTAGGAGTGGAATTGCTGGATATTATGGAAGCTCCATTTTTAGCAGCTTGAGAAACTTCTAAATGGCTTTGACTAAGATTTTTAAGAAAAATTTAAATAATTTTGAAATAATTTCAGGCTCACAAAAAATCTTTCATAAGTTATTACTTCCCATATACTCATCATCCAGATTCTCCAAATAACCAGTAATCTCCAAATAACAGTAATCACAATTAGGAAATTAATATTGATGTGATTCTACAATTTACAGATTTTATTAAAATTTTGACAATTATTTCACTGATGTCCTTTTTCTGGCCCATTAGCCAGTCTAGGGTCACATGTCACATTTACCTTTCATGTACTTTTAAAGTCCTTTAATCTCAAATAGTTAGTTTCACAATCTTCATCTTCTATAACCTTGCTACTTCGGATGATTATAGATTAGTAATTTCAATACATTTAGGTTCGTTTGTTGTTTCTTAATGATTAAAATAAGATTATGCGTTTTTGGTAAGATTATCACAGAACTGATGTTGTATCATTCTCAATAACCATGTGAAGGGCTATATGATTGATTTATTCCATTAATAGTGACCCAAACATTTCATCTTTCAGCTGAGGTTCATGTTAGCATATGTAGCAATATTTTCATTCATATATACCTTTGTTCACTTGACAACTAGAATCTGAGTAACAGAGTATACATTTTACTACTCAGTCCTTGAAGAATAGAAGGAAATTAAACAAGGGGCCAGTGGATTTATTGCAGCCTATTTCTAGGCAGGCTACATGTTCAAAGTAGTTAAAACTTGTGAGAGCTTCATGGTGTGGTATATGATTATTTTTGCTGTGGAGCACAGGAGACAGAGAGATTTTCTTGGGGGAAGCCATGCCGATCAGCAAGGAGTCTAGACTGCCTATAGCTATTTAATCTGTAGGCAAGAGTGTCTGCTGTCAGAAAGAATAGAACAGAGCTGAACAAAAAGAAAAGCTGGGTGGGAATCACAACCTAAACCTTGTAAAATGGCAAAAATCACAATATTAAAAAATGCTTAAGATTTGTTCTGTCTGTAGCATTTTTTCCCATGCTACAAGTATAGTGCTCATTGCAATCTATTACAATTTTAGTCTTTCTCATCAAACAAATGTGTTTCTTGAGGGCAAAGATGATGTCATTCAGGTCCTCCAGACAGTGCCTGACACCATTGTGCCATAGTTATTTATTGAAATAAACTGAGAACTGAGTAATGTTTCTGAGCTACTAATTAGTAGAAGGATTTAGGGCCTTATTCTGCACATAGTGGATGCTCGATAAATATTGGTGACAGAAAGGTTGGTGAAGTCTTAAGTGGACCCAGCTTCTACTCGTCAAGTCAAGGGGGTAGATGGATTCTGGAGGTGGCAAAGTGGAGGAGGGGTGAGGGAAGGGGAAGGAAGACCGTGGTAGGGGAAGGGGGAAATTGAAGATATATGGAAGGATGGGAAGCTAAGCCACCTTGGTGGGCACTGATAGCAGAAGACCAAGAACATGAAATGTGGGCCCCAAATGTGGGGCCCACATTTGGTCCAAAGGAAACAAAAGAGAAAATGGATGTTAGGTGCATTTGAAAACAACTAACCTGTCCTTTTCTAGTGGTTTAAATGGATAGATTTGTGTATGTATGGGGTGGGGCGGGGTGGTCAAAGTGGAAATCTGAGGAAATGGAAGAGGCATGGAGTGAAGTTACCAGCTGAACTGAGAGAATGGCATATGACTTCCAAGCAGGGGTGTCAGGGACATTGGGACAGAACCCTCCTGGCAGGGGTGAAAGTCTTACCATGCCCAACAGGGGAACACTTGGCAGGAGCTCTGTGGGAGACCTGGAGAAAGGCCAACTGGTTTATCACTGGAGTGAAGGGGCTGGAGGCCAGTGGAACACCGAGAAGAGATGAGCACTTGGCAAGAAGACAGGAGCCTGGAAAGGTCCATCATAACAGCAGATCTGAGCGGAGGGGCTGTGGGTGGGATGGGTGGTTGTAGGGGAAAGAGAGAGGAATGGGTGTGGGGAGTGCTTGGTAATGGGTGGAAATGAGGCCTTCTCAACCTCCCTTTGCAAAGCATAAGTAGATAGACTCAGCTCTGGCATTGCATCTGCTCTAGCCGAGTATGCCTGAGCCGAGAGCAGTGGCTTGGGTAGTATGAGAGAAGGCAGATGGGGAGGGGAGTTTCAACTTGGAAGAGATTGAGCCTCTCCTTTGATTTTGATCTTTATTCCCTGCTGGCTTGGCCATTTTCCAATTGAACCCTTCCTCCCATTCTCACTCTCTCGACACTCAGCTGAACTTGGACTGTACACTGTTAGGGGCACCCATCTCTGCCCTCAGAAACTGCTTCTGGGGTGAAATGTGATAGCACTCAGTTTTATTGCTTAGTCTTTTGTGGTGACCTCCCCATTCCAAAGACCAAAATAACTTAGATTTCATTTCAACTAGAAGCAAAATCCATACCTGTTTGGTACCCATCTGGGCTAAAGGACCCACCTAGCTTCACTTGCCACCAAGTTGCAAGGTTGACACTTGGCCTCACTGGACTAGATGGGGATTGGCTTGGTTCTCTCTCTCAGTGATTTTGATACCCTGAAATCACTGTGGGCATAGTTGGGGTGAGGGTGTATACTTGTGTTCTTTTGGACTCAGGCCACATGGGGCATAGGTTGGAGTCTCCTGTCTCCTAAACTCAAAGAACTTCTTGTTTCCAAGTAGATGACAGGAAGATAGACTGGATCATGATGCTCCTTTTGGGATATTTTCACCAGGGTGTGCTTAAGGGTGGTTCCCTTGGTTTCCAAGTGTAAGGAAAAAAGAAAAGCTTTTGCTAACGCCCACTTTTGCCTGCTGTACCACCTATTTTCAATCGAAATGCCAGCTGTGTCCCGTTTCTTCTGTCATTCAGCTGTCCTGAAGCAGCTGCTCCAGGCGGACTTTCGCTGCTGTTGCGGGAGGCGTGGCCGCTAGTCAGGTTCTCATCGTTCCTGGCCGTTGCCTCGTTACTGTGGTCATGGGTTGGTGGTTTGCTTTCTTTTTTCTTTTCAATTCATTTCATCTCCGCCATCCCTTAATTTTAATCTTTCTTGTTTTTTTTTGGTAGTTGTTATGTGTTGTTGTTTTTGTTTTATCTTTTGTTGCCTTTCCCTCTGCAGTCAACTCTATGACCTGGGGACTCCAGAATCCTTCAAGCAAGCCATTTCCGAAGAAGGCGAAAGAAGCCATGATGATGCGCCTACTCCTTCTCCTTCTCTTCCTCTTCCCTTGCCTGGCCCCCTCCTGCGTGTGTGTTTCAGCCAACACAGGAGCCTGGATTGTGGAAAAACCTCCAGTGCAACTCAGCTCAGAAAAGTCTTGGGAATGGCCTCAGTTTGTGCAATAAGAAGATTTTTTTTTTCCTTTTTAAAATTCTTCATTACATTTTCTTTAATTGTCTGTGAGAAAAGTACCCGGGTCAGACTGGAATTGCTCTGCAATAGATTGCTCTACGATCTAACTGAACACAACAAACTGACAAAAAAGAGAGTTATTTTATTTATTTCAATATTTAAAAGAAAAAAGTGCTGGCATTGCACAATATTTTTGTTTAAAGTAACTTCTGCTTCAAAAATTAAAAGAGTTTTGTGAAGACATGAAATCAAAAGAGTACTTAATGTAAAATAAAGACTGCCTATTAACTCTAAGGAAAAATACCCCACACTTTTAATAAGAAAATAAAGATCAACTCTGCTCTCTCAGGCTTTGTAAAAAGCCATCATGTATGTGCTTTAGGTATTTTTATTTCTGCGAGTTGGATGTGGTAAGTGAGGAGTGATCAGTTTTTTTTTCCCCTTCTTCAAAAGTCTGTTGAAAGTGTTGTGATGTTAAATGATCTTGTGTTCAGAATTAATTGAAATAAATTAGCTACAGAGGCTATCAGCAGCCTCTTCAACCTCCACCTCCCCCAAATAAAACCAAACCACCTCTTCCCTCACCTCAGGCAGTCCCTATTTATCTGATGTCAGGAAGCAGCCTGCCTCCTGGTTGTGTCTGAAGAGACCTAGTTGTGAAAGGAAACTCACCTAGTGATTAATCTAGTGTTGTAGCTCTATGAGTTCAACAGATTTAGACCGTTTTGTTTAACACAGTGAAGGAAATGTTAAAAAGATGACAAAAGATAAATACCAGCTGAGATTTCATGACTTCAGCCATCTAACAGGTCTTAGAAAGGGAGCCTTCTGCTGAGTTGACTCCCAGGGTTTGGGATTCTAGAGCTGTCCCCAAAGGCAAGGAAGGCCAAGATAAATAATGGTGACCACTCAGATTCAGTTGCCAGAGGAGTAAGGAGAAAAGCAAGCTTCGTAACATGTCCTTTCATGGCCGCGTTGTGGGGTTAATGTGGCTTAGGACATGGCATCTGGGGAGGAGCTGGGTTGACTCGCTGGATTACTGGGAGCTACTCCCAGTCTTCTACGTGTCCATGCTCTTGAGTTTTCCTTATTTGGAAGCAGAGTCAGAAAAATAAATGTACACTCTAATGCTGGATATTCTTGTCAGTAAAAGTACTGAGTGACAGTGTTACCGAGATAGTTCTGAGTCGCAGTGTCTCTTTTGCCTTTGAAAGGGGAGATGGGGTGGCACAGACTTCCTTCCAGCCCTTTTGGGTTTCTCATTCAAGGCCCATTCCTTGAGGGGGATCACAAGAGTGACTTTGTATCATTTTGTGTCCCATTTCTGTGACATTTTCTGACCGAAAATGTCCCTTTTCAAGATGCTAATAATTGTAGTAATAGTCTGCTTTCCGGCGAACTCCCAAAAGTTATAACATGTAGGGTTTTTATGGTAACGATTTGCGTAATGTAGGGTTTGTATCATTTGTGTAAGTTTTTGTTAAATAAAAGTCTGTTTCCAATGCTTCTATAGCATCTCTGTAAATTTTGCTTTACCACCCTCAGCCTATGTGAGTCTGACTTTCATACTGTCCTGTAGAAGGGACTCCTAAAGGGACTTTGCTCACCTGCCTTCCTGAGATTGGCTGAACCCTCTTGTTTATTTAGAACCACAGTCTAGCAGAGCATTGCATTGGCTTGGCTGGCAGGTGATGGCAGAGGAAGTGGACATGCCCAGGGTGGGTGCTGGAACCTGCAATCTGAGGACAGATACCCACCATCATGACCACCACTGTTGCCCTCTGCATGGCCAAGACAGATGATGGAGAGCCTGGGTTTGTGTGTAGATCTCCCATACCTTCCAGTGGCACTACCAGAGTAGTGCTGAAAATAGCTTTGCACAATGATGTGAGCTTTGGCGTGCCTGGGGAGTGCTGGGTGGTTGATGTTTCCTATCTTGAAAGGTGGTCTTGGTTTGGCATGCTGCCAGTGGGTGCCACTATAGTCTGCCCCCGCTTGACTCTTCTTTCTGTGCATGGAGATGGACATTCTTCTCTGATGGGTTCGCTAGGTGAGATAGAGTCAGACTCACATTTCAGAGCAGATCTTGTCCTCTGGGTGTTGCCAACCCAGGTGGCCCAGGTGGAGAAAAAATGTTCCTTGTGATGCTGTTGTACCTGTGTCCTACCTGCCTTTAGAATGACTGTCATGTTGTAACCTTCATTAGATCTGTATGTTTCCCTCTCAGTAAAAAAGACCTTACCCACCTGTCATCCTCCTTAGACTCCCCTGCCCCTTTATTGTGGTAAAATGTACATAGTATAAAATTTATGATTTTAATCATTTTAAAGTGTACATGTTAGCAACATTTAGTACATCTGCATCGTTGTGCAAACATCACCATTCTCCTTTTCCAGAACTTTTATTTTGACTTCTTCAGCTGAAATTCTGTACACATTAAATACTAGTTCTTTGTTTCCTCCTCCCCCAACCCCTGGTGATCACTATTCTACCATCTCTAGGAATTGACTATTCAAGGTACCTCCTATAAGTAGAATCGTTCAATATTTGATCTTTTGTGACTGACATTTTTCTTGACCTGGTATCTTTAAAGCGCACAAGTGGTGTACATGTGTCAGAATTTTATCCCTTTTTAAGAATGAGTATTCCATTGCAGCACATCCTGTTTATTCATTTGTCAACATTTGGAACAAAAATAAGTTTTGTGCATTTACCAGGCATAACCTCTGCCTTTAGTAGCTCACATCTTGAGGCAGTAGATCCAGTTCAGAGGTCACCTACAGTGCTAAATCTCTTCTTAGGACAGAAGTGATCGACATTTTCCTTCTAATCTATCTATCCTGGGAAAAAGGGAATCTTGATGCTGATGGATGGATTCTCTCTCCTAAAGTGTGTCTCACCTCATGACTAAGGATTTCTTTGTAGATAATGTCTCTGATTGCTGTTACAGGGACAAGATGTGTAACAAGGACCTGTAGTATCAATGTAAATAGCTAAGGGCAGAGACAGCCCTGGAGAATCAAATGTTTAATGGTGAGCCACATGGGCAGGGACTGCCCAAGGGTGAGTTGTTGGCAAAGCCTGCATGTGCTGTATGTCTGCAGATGGTCACTGACCAACATGGATGGGGAGAGTGTACATGAGAGCCGGAGAATGAGAAAGGGAAATCACTTTCCACATCTATTTGGAGACGTTAATTAGTATAAAGCATGAACTTTGGGCTGGAGTTTCAGGAGCAGATATCTTTAGTGACCAAAGCAGGTCAAGTGTGAGAACATCAACAGCGCCAACAACTTTGGGGGGAAGCCCTTGATTCTCAGCCACAAGTCACAGGGAGACAACAAGCACAACGAGGCAGACCCTGTGCTCAGATGGGGCCCTGGCTACCCTGACTGCAGGGTAATGTGAGATCTAGGGTTCTCAGGTCCCACATGTTTCAAGGGGTCTTTTGAGGGAAACCTCCCCATTTAAAAATATTGGTAGTAAATTATAAAATAAACACTAAAGATCAACTTTGTGTGGTCTAAACCTAATGTGAGCATGTGCCAGACACCGTTGCTGGCTTGAAGCAGCTTTGCCAAGGGCGGCCAGTGGGGGGAGGTTGCAGTTGAGGTTGGAATGCACGTCTTCATACAGCAGGTGCTTGGCTCCCCTGGCCATGTGCCTTGTTTATGGTGACTTAGAACTCTTATGTGCTGGGAACGGGCCCCTGGCTTGGTCTCTGGGTGGATCTAGCTCATGTGTGTGTTAGGGATTCCAATAGAAAGCAATCCTCTTTCTAGTCCCTTTCCCTCTGCATGTTAATGAAAGATCCCTTCCTCCTAAAACTCTGGGCAGCTTAGAGATGTGTTTTTTTATTTTACTTCATTTTTATTGTGGGCTAGGCACCTGTTACATCACATTCTTTTTACTCTTCTAAAAACTCAAGTTACTCCATGTGACTAGAACCAATGAAGTTTCATTGTATCCTCAAAGCAACAAATTCAGTACTTCCTTTGATTTAAAAATACATATTTTATCATTTATATACATATTTTTTACAGAATATTTAAGCATAAAATACTTAAAAGGCAAACAAAAATTCTGGAAGAAGATACACACTTTAATCTTAGATATTATGTTATTTATATATAATTACTCCAGAGTTCTTGTTATATGTTATTATTTGTTATATACATGTATGATAAATTTTATATACTATATATAATTTTATATATTTGTTACCTTATACTTATATCTCACATATACTTGAGTATTATATATAATATAAACATCTTCATCCTGAATTTTTGTTATTTCAGTTTGTCTTTGAAATATTTTATGCATTATATACACCTTATACAGAGCCAGGCCAATTTTATGCAAAATAGTACAAGGACACTCAGATCATGATTCTTTTCTTTTGTTAGGGTGGGGAAGAGATTCATTTTATAGATTTTAAAAGAATAGGTTTATTAGGAAAAGAAGAAAGGGAAAAAGAGACACCTGCATACTCAGACAGGGAGGGAGGAGAGCTGCTGGGAGGAGATTATCTGAATTAGCAGTTTGCTGTCTCATGACTTGGTCTGTAAACTCTTCCTATAAAGGCTCAAATAGTAAATATTGTGTATTTTGCCAACCAGACACCTGCTGAGCACCTACTCTATTCTGGGACTGTAACGTGAATGTAGTAGCAGACAATATATTAATCAATGGCCATGGCAGTGTTCTAATAAAACTTTATACACAAACAGGTAACCGGTCAGATTTGGCTCATGGACCATTGTTTGCTAATCTCTGACTTAGAAAGAGTAGGTGTCATCCAATTAAATTGGGTGATGATAGCAGTAATATTTAGGGCATTTCCTAAAGCCTCAGGACTAAGACAAGAAGAAGTGCTCTTCTCCAGGTGAAGAGCATCTTGTGGTCAGTAACGTCAGCAGTGCTGAGTCCTAGATCCACACATGTTTCAGTGCCAAACTGATTCTACCACAATCTGTCTACTAGATTTTCTTGTTTTGACGCCAGTCCTTAACTACAACACAATGCTTACCAAAAGTATCTGAAGAGTAGAATCAGGCTCTGTACTAGCCATAGATAACAGTGACTCTGAGGATGAGATGATTGATATATTTCAACTCTGGGCACATAGGTATGGAATAACACCAACTTAAAAATAGTCAAGTTCATGTCAATGACTCCCAGGGACTAAATGAACATAGGTAGTGGAGTTTCATCTGTAGGACATAAGTGATAAAATACATTTACTTGAGCCCAACTTGGGAGGTACAGAGTTATTGCTGCTAAAGAAATGGTTTCTTTCTGCTGGTGACCATTTCTTGAGTGGCTGTGGCTCTCTGAAGTGG